TTTTTTTTTTTTTAAACCGGGTATTGAACTCAGATCCTTGCGTTTGCCAGTCAAGCACTTATCCTACTGAGCCATCTCCCCGGCCCCTAAAAAAATTTATTAGCTATTTATTCCCTTACTATTTAAGGTCATTATGTTTTTTCACTCATTTGAAGCCTTCATTAAATAGACTAAAATTTGAAGCAATTTTTTTTTTTAACTTTCTGCAAAGCGTTATTCCAGGGGGGCTCAGTCCTTAGCAGCTGCCTTCCTCATGGTGGCCAGCATGTTGCTCAGCTCCTCATGCTTCCTCTTGGCATGGATGTGCATCCCCACCCTTTCCTTGATGAACTTGAGGGTGCATTTGTCCTTGAAGAACTTGAGCAGCTCCATAGTGCGCTGCTCGTAGGGGGCAAAGCTGCACACCCCCTGAATCATGTCCCACGTGTGTTTGGTGAGGTGTGTGCAACAGCAGTTGCTGTAGCGGAAGACTGAAGCAAATATTTTCTATGATTTTTCTTTTTGGCATTCTCTCTTTTGTCTCTGTCTGTTTGTCTGTCTGTCTGTCTGTCTGTCTGTCTCTGTCTCTGTCTATCTGTCCCTCTTTCTCATATATATATGTTTGTTTGTTTGAGACAGGATCTCACTATGTAGCCCAGGCTGGCATTGAATTCACTTCAATCCTCCTACCTCAGCCTCCTGAGTGCTGGTATTATAGGCATGTACCATCATGCTTCACCTGTATACAAAGTTTTTTTGGTTTTTTTGTTTGTTTGGTTTGTTTTGTCTTTTTGAGACGGAGAGTCTTGGTATGCAGTTCAGACTGGCCTGGAGCTCACTTTGTAGCCCAGGCTGGTCTCAAACTTGCAACAATCCTCCTGCCTCAGCTTCCCAAATGCTGGGATTACAGGCATGCACCACCAAATCCAGCTACACAAAAGTTTTTAAATGTAATATAACCAAAAGAGTAATTTCTTCTCTTTCAGGTCTTTTTTTTTTTTTTTTGGTAAGGGTCTACAGGGTGTTCAGGGTCTCACCAGTAGATCAGACTCACCACATCTGCCTGTTTACAGCCTCCCAAGAGCTGGGATTACAGGTACCCACCACCATGCCCAGTCTCAATTGCCATCTCAGTGTGCCCTAGGGCCAGGGATGGCACAGAAGGTACAGGAATTGAGTCCCCAGTCCCTGCGCCTGTTTACAGGTTCTTTAATCTGCTGAGCTGTTTGGCCCGTCCTTTTCTCTCAGGTCTTCAGTTGCTTTTTGTTTAAAAGTCACATGTGCCTAATAAAGAAAATTGGAATAATACTCTGCTTTTTACTATCCAAGAATGTACATGCATTTCATTTTACTTTAATTTTTTATAGCTTCATTTTAAAAACATTATTAATGTTGTTGTTTTGGGGGTTTTCTGAGACAAGGTCTCGCTATGCAGTCTAGGCTAGCTTTGAATTCTCTAGGTAGCCTAGGCTGGCCTGGAACACATGAACCTCCTGTCTCAAGTGCTGCGATGACAGGTGTGTGACACCTAACCAGTCTAATGTTATATTCTGTTTTTTTGGTTTTTTTTTTGGCGGAACCAGGGATTGAACTCAGGCCCTTGCACTTGCCAGGCAAGCACCTATTCTGCTGAGCCATCTCCCCGGCCCTAATGTTATATTCTTAATACTTTAATTTACCTGGAATTTATTTTTGAAATAATTTTTGTCAAAATTATTCTTTTGTAAATAATTATCCATATAGTATGTCTTTCCAGCACCATTAAGAACTAACTCATCTTCGTGTTTCCCACTACCTCTGTCAGCTGTTGTTCAATAACGCTGCGTAGCAAGCCAATCCCAAACTGAGAGGCCTACAGTGAGCATGAATTTCCCACTTTTGCTCCTGTGGGCAGGCTGGGTTTCCTGAGTAGTTGGGGTTACAGGTGATTTCTGCTCTGCTCTGCTCTGCTGGGCTAGTCTGTCTTCCACAGTCCTACCACAACAGCACACTGAAGGCCTCTGTTTGTGTCACATCTACTAACATTCCACTGGACAAGCCATGTCCCAAGACCATGCCCAAGTTCAATGGTATGAAAAATATATTCCGCCTCCATTGAAACAGCGCATGGTTACATGGTGAAGGACATGCTACAGGGAGAGATGAAGGACAGAGCTGAAATGCAGTCTGTACACCCATGGAGATAGTCTTGCAGGAAATAAGGTTGTGTTTTGATAAAGGCAGATCAAAGTCTAGGAAGGGATCTAAGTTCAAGGGAAACATTTTGTTCATTTTTGCTCATGGGAGAAGGAAAGCAGTGGCCAGGGAAAATACCTTAAAGATGTGAGCAGGAAGCCACATCTGAAAAAAAAAAAAAAAAAAAGGAAGCCACATCTGCACACCTGTATTCCCAGCACACCAGGAGGCTAAGGCAGGACTGCAAGTCCCAGCCCAGCGTGGGCAATTCAGTGAAGGCCCTATCTCAAAGTAAAATAAATGGACAGTTGGGGATAGCTCAGTGTGAAGGTCCTGGGCTCAGTCTTCCGTGAGAGGTAGGGGGAGAGGAAAATATGAACAAGAGGGGTTAATAGCATTCTGATAAAGCTTCAGGGGGAGTGGGGCACACACCTGTAATCCCAGCTATTCAGGATGCTGTTACAAGAGAATCTCAAGTTTGAGTCTAGCTTGGGCAATTTAGCAAGATTTCTCTCTCTCTCTCTCTCTCTCTCTCTCTCTCTCTCTCTCTCTCTCTTTTTTTAAGGGGCTGGGAGCTGGGTGTGATGGCACATGCCTGTAATCACAGCATGTGATTACAACCTCTGGGAGGCTGAGGCAAGAAGATCACAATTTTGAGCCCAGCCTAGGCAATTTAGCAACTTAGTGAGACCCTATACCCCCCCCAAAAAAATAGCTTGTGATCTACCTCAGTATGAAGGCTCTGGACTCAATCCCTAACATGGGGGAGTTGAAGGTTATGTGGCTTAATGGTAGAGTGTTTGCCTAGCATATGCGAGGCCCTGGGTTTAATCCCAGGAGTGGGGGTGTGGGGGAAATCACATGTAAATAGTAAAATGCATAAAGAAATGAGTGGACACAGAACTTGGGTCCTTTATGAAGGGTATTTGCTGAAAGCAACCAAATAAAGAGTTGGGCATAACAACTATGGGTAGTAAGAGGACGCCTCAGCAGAATTAAAATAGTGCCAAACATCTGTGTTGGGGTCCCTGTGAGGGCTGAATCGTCACAGTGGCCCTGAGTTTTCTCCAACCCTGTCTGCCAGGTGGGAGAAAAAAGCGATCCTCAGGTTGGTAGTAGCTAGTCTGACAGTTGGGAGGCTGAGGCTGGAGGGACACGGGGTGAGGAAGCTGACAGCTGGTTACAGGTTCAAGGGATGGGGCCCGGGTCCAAATTAGAAGGGAAGAGATCAGGGCAAACGAGGAGCTGAAGGACTGCCAAAAAAATAGCTTAGTGGTTCAAGCTGGAGGACCTTAGAAATGAAGGAGGCAGGGAAGTGGACACTGGAGTGTAGGTTTTCAGAGGCAGATAGGAGATTCCATGGCATGACCATGTGACCAGACTGCAGAATTAGTGATGACCTTGAAACAGAGGGCAGGAATGAAGGGCAGCACAAAGTTCAGGTAACCCATGCAAATGCACACTGTTGAGCAGCAGCCAGACCTAGGAGTCTCAGCAGGGAGGGGTTGGAATCGACTCCACAAGCTCCCTGAAAGGCTCCTAGGCTCCCTGACTTGGGAACAGATGAGTTACACTGTTGAGCCAGGCTTGCTGGGTTACCTGGTGGCAGAAATAAGGCAGAAAGAGAAGAAACAGGTGTCCAATTCCTTAGAGTCTGGACTGAGTCCATGTGTGGGCTGATGACGCAAGGTGAGGAGGAGATTTCCTACGAGCCAGGAAGGGCAGTCCAGCTGTGCACACCCATTTTCAAACCAGAGCTGTGACAAAGCGGCTGGTTGGAGGTTTCCCCTGCAGAAGGCAGGACAGTAGCAGGGAGGGAAGGGGGCAGAAAGCAAAGGACAGGTCAGCCAAGACAGAGCAAGGTGAGAGCTCCATGAAAGGCAGACATTGTCAGTGCTTCCAACCAGGATTGCAGGGTGAATCTATAGCATAGTGGCTCAGAGTAGCAGTCCTAACAAGGTTGCGAGCTTTGGTGGCAGCAGCAGTAGAGGCAGAGGTCTGATGGCAGTGAGGCTGGGCTGAACAGGGACCGTAGGATCTCAGCTCCCAATTCCGAGTTGGGTTAACTTTTCTGAACTCAGTTGACATCCATCCTGGTCCAACAAGATGTCTCTTCTCTCTAGCATTCAGACAGCTCCAACCATCACAGCTTCATGATCCTGTCATCCATCGTCATCACCATCGCCATCTACATCATCAGTGGTTTTCCAGTGTGCCAGCCAAGCACCATGCAGCCGGCTAGAGCCATGATACAAGGATGAAGTCAGGCTGTCCTAAGGGAGCAGCTTGGCTGCCAAGTGGAACGGGGGCAGATGCAAGAACTCTCACCTCACCCCGCCCAGGAACCTGGAAGGGTGCTTGTCTTTTGTGAGTTAAGCTCTTAAAACCAGCACATCGTGGGCCAGACCTGCATCATTAGTGTATCTCTCCTAGGAGGATCTGTACTAAGAGTCGCAGAGACAAACCTTAGCCTCTGCCAGCTGCCACACCCTCAAGTTGCTCCATGGAGGAAGTCATGACCACAGCCCAGGCTGCATGGGTGCCTCCCACTGGGCTTTCCTGCGACTTCCCTGATGTGTTGTTCTGATTCTTTGTTCACAGCTACCCTCCCCATAAGATTTGGCTGCTGAACAACTCTCCTGCAGAGAGGACCCACTGGTCAGGACACGGGGGTTCCAGGCTTTGACAGTCACAGTGCTCAACGGCAGTCCACTTTTGGTTCCATCACACACATACTCATTCAGCAAATATGTAACTGCGCATCTGCCACGGGCCAGGCATTATGCACAGCAGTGACTTCCTGGGGCTTACATTCCAGTGAGGGTGACAGACAAGAACCACAAAATACTGTAATTTTACAAAATACTGTAATTTAATGTGAAAAGTGCCTCAAAGATGAAGGAAGTGATCAGAGCACTACAGTGAAGAGTCAGTACTAGGATGGAGAGCAATGGGACAACGAAGACTTGTCACAGAGGGTAATACTGTCTTTTTAGCTGGCTTTGAACTTCTGGGCCCAAAGGATCTTCCTGTCTCAGCCTCCCAAGTAGAGCATTGTCTTTAATTTATATATACCTTACATGGGGTGAGGTGCACCATCTTCAGAATGCAGCTTGGTGAGCTTGTACATTTACGTATGCCCGATTCTTAACCTCTGGACTACAGATTATAGCTCAATAATTCCTTACTGTAGGGGTCTGTCCTGGTTTTAGCAGCATCCCTGGCTTCTACCTACAAGATGCCAGCGGCAATCTTCCCTATCCCACTGTGACAATTAAAAATGTCTCTAGATAGCCAGACATGGTAGTACATGCCTGTAATCCCAGCCACATGGGTTGGGACAGGAGGATCACAAGTTTAGGCCTGAGCAAGTTTAAAACCATATTTCATATTTCAAAAAAAATTTTAAAAAACATTTTAAAGGGCTGGAGGTTAAGCACTTGTCTAGCTTGAGCAAGACCCTGTAGATCCCACACTGGAAAAAAAAAAAAAAAGAAGAAAGAAAGAAAAAATAATACAGTGCTAGATGTCTCCTGGAAGGCAAAACTGGCCCTGCTGACAGCCCTGAATATGCCATGTAACCACCACTCAGCTCAAGAAGCAGATTCTCGTTTGTTGGCATTTGAGCTCTTTAAAGAATTGGGGGAACAATTCAAAGTGGAGGGAGCACAAGTGAAGGCCCTGAGGGGGAAGTAAGGTTTGTACATTTGAGGAACCACGTGGCTGATCTGTGGTGAGAAGGGCCAGAATGGCATCTGAGGAGGTTAGAGACAGGCTCGAGCAGGGGCTTTGTGGGCGCTGGTTAGAGTCTGACATTCTTGAGAATGTTCATTAGGAGTTCGTAGGCATCTGGCACTGTGCCTGATACCAAAGGATGGAAGATGAATGAATTACATTATAGTCTCTAAAGGAAGATAGTAAAGTCTTCAAGACTCTAGGGATAGATATGGACTTGAAAGCTATGGCGTTGGAATTGCACTGAATTACAGGAGTATGTACAAGACCCGGGGCTGACAGCTGGGCATGTAGTGGTGCACACTGCACACCTGCAGTCCTGGTACTTGGGAGGCTGAGGCTGGAGGATTGTAAATTCAAAGCCAGCCTGAAGTACGTAGTGAAAGCTCCATTTTTGAGAAAAAAAAAAATCAAA